ACAATTATACAGGAGAGAGAGCTGTACGCCTTCATCTCTGTGGATAAATATTTGTTAAAAATTTTGACAGAAGATGAAAATAAGTTGGTTTGGTTTTTTTTTCAGCTCCTAGGAATTGGATATTTTTTGTTGCTGTTTAAATTACATATATACTTTTGTCTTACTTTTCAGTGGATTGCATATACCACCTCAACATTTTTTGGTCAAATATAGACTCAAAACCACTGTTGACGATTTGCAAGAAAAAATAAGTTTGAACAAGGCTACAGAATCATCAGCTTTTATGCTATTTCTGATGCTTAGATAACTTAGTTTAGGGACAAATGACTAACAGGATAGTGAAGTATTGAATCATTTCTCTGCTGTCAAAGGTCTGTAAAAAACTCTTGACTACGTATTTACACTCAGCTCTGTGCTGTCTAGCAAGAAAGGTGGAAAATTCTATTAATAAAAGTAACGTTGTTCCAGGCAAAGAATGGTGTCGTTGAAGGTCACACCTGGACCTCGACTGTGGATTTCCCATTCCCATTTTAGAAGAATAATAATGAAAAAGACGCTTTCCTTGAAGAAGGAAAATCTGGGATTCAGAGCTTCTAGAAAGCTGTTTTCTCGAAAGCTGGTTCTCATTCCAAAAAACAATCAGGCTACCATAATTTATGTTGTTGGCAAGAGTCGGAGTCGTGACACCTGCAATAAGAAATCTCTGAATGTGATATTGGGGAGTGTCTCATAAATCATACGGTTTGCCAGCTGCCTGCCAGAGGAGAAAATCCTGCATGTAAATTTAGACCCACACAAGTGGTTCCTGGATCCAGGGGCTTGTGGATCAGACCTTCCTTCCGATCCACCTTCAACACCTTGCCAACGTTCTGCCCTCCTAGTGCTGCTCTTTTGGGAAAACACATCTTTATGGCTTTGATAGGAAAAGTTCAGAACTGTGCTTTTTAATGACGAAAGTGCAGCAGTAAACTGCCGGTCCAGTTCATTCTTGTATGAATTTAGTATATCATATTAAAAGGAATGGTGGCTAATGTTTTCAAAATGGGATCTCTCTACTTAGGTGCTTTAAATGAAATTTAGATGTGTGAATAAAATTAGTCTGCCTTTCAGGAGAACTTGGCAAATCAATTCTCAACTGAAAGTTTCCATCTTGTACTGGGTCTGGTTGAGATAGAGTTAACTTTCTTCCTGGCAGCCTGGATGATGCTCTGTTTTGGATTTGTGGCTAAACCAGCCTTGATAACACACCAGTGTTTTGGCTGTTGCTGAACAGTGCTTGAACTGTGTCAAGGCTTTCTATTTTTCCCACTCTGCCCTCTCAGCAAGTAGGCTGGGGATGGGCAGGTGATTGGGAGGGGACACAGCTTGGACAGCGGACCTGAGCTGGCCAAAGGGGTCTGCCAGACCGTATAACATCATGTTCGGCAATAAAAACTGAGGTAGAGGAAGAAGAGGGTTTTGGCTTCTGACGTGGCCTTTGTTTGGAGATTGTCTGGGCATCAGCCTGCATGTGAGAAGTGGTGAGTGATTTTCGTCACTAGTTGGTTGGTTGTTTTATTTTCTTCTTTCCTTCATCTATTAAACTGTCTTTGTCTTGACCCACAAGTTTTCTTGCTTTTGTTCTTCCTATTTTCTCCTCTCACCCTGCTGGGGGGGAGTGAGCAGCTGCATGAGTGCTTGGATACTGGTGGGGCACGACCCACCACACACCTGTACGCTCACGTATTGACTTTTCCACTAGATTGAGAAGGTAGCAGTCAATTATATTTATAGCCTATCCAATTAGGGAAATGCTTCAGCAGCAGCCTCTGATTAAATCAGTTGGTTTCAGGAGGGTGCTGTGTATCATCTGCTACCTACCCACTCAGCCTGAGTTCTTGCCACTGGTATTACCACCTCCAGTACAGGGAAGAGACTTGTTTGTGGTAATGCACAGTCCTAGAATTTTCTGTTCTGAAGAACTGAAAGTTTTACTCATACTTGGTTGGTGTCATGCAGTACTTGCAATTGTTTTTAGTTAGCTTTGGTAATCCGGTAATAAAGAGAATCCTTTAATATGTTATATAAAATAATAATCCTATTATAGAGACACTTTTTAGAGACCTACTAGTAAATGGGGAGCAAATTCTGGTTTTAACAATTTAAAACATTAGTTTAGAGTTATTGCTGACATTTTTGATGTGTCTGTGTAGACTAATGGAATGTATACAGCCAAATCCTAGAAAAACAGTTAATAAAAACAAGCTTTTAGCTAAAGCATCTAGCAGTGCACTTGCTTTTCATTAAATATTTATAATGTTGTCCTGTTCTAAATTAGACTTCTTGTAGAAATCCAAAGCATCTACAAATTTCATAATATCTTCAGTATGTGTTGATCTTACAGACCTCTTAAGGAGCTAAGAATTAACCCAGTGTGTTACTTAAGAGCACCAGTAAACCATTAGTATTGGTTTAAAATGATTTACAATAATGTTACATTTTTAGAAATTACATGGATGAAGTGCAAGTATTTTACTGTTTAATAAAATGAATCTAAAGAAATTTGTTGATTATGTCACATGGAGTAGACTGTATCAGTTACATTTTAGTACATTAGGGGTAGTTATGAATATATATAACATCTCTGTTGAGCTTCAGTGTTAAATATTTCTGACAGAAAACTAGAAGTATGTTTCTAAAGATCTATCTCTAAAAACCCTTGAGCATTTTTTATTGAAGACAATAATGAGAGATTTTTTCTCCTTACCTATCTAATTAGCTTCATGACCAGTTGACATTATTTTTAAGTTCTAAGCTGCAAAATATTTTTCCTAAATTCAGGATATAATATTTTTCAGAATGAACTTGAATGTTCACTGTGTCTTGAAATCTAAAAGGTTATGTCCTCTTTCTTCCCCCTGGCTGGGTGTATCAATAGTACATCATCCACTGATGTAATCTGTAATGTAATGCTAATCCAGTGCTTCTGTTAACAAAAGAACGTTAATGTTAACGGTTTAAGGATGGTTTGCTTTAGCATGGAAATAAAGATTGGGGATACTGTTTTCGTTCCTTTGTTGGAAGAGAATTGGAATACTAGTTGGTCAAGCTTGTTTCAAAGATTTCCCTTTAAAGAAAATAAGAATTCAGCCCAAATCAAGAGATATGAACTGCCTCTTGTAGCTGGTAGATCTACTTGTCTGAGAATTTTCAGATTCATATCTGAGTTTGTCTTGCTGTATTTAAGGCATACACTGATGTGGTATCCAAAAAAAAGTCAACTTGTAGCTTTTGTCAACTTTTTTTTTTTCCCCTTCATAAGAGACTTCCATTAATGGCTCAAGCAATGGTTTCTAATTCTGAAGACAAATTAATTTCTTGTGATCCAAACTGTTCTCAAAATATGTTTTCTTTTTATGTTTTTCTCATTTATTTATTTGCTTATTGTTCTGTGTGAGAAAGCTTTTTTGGAAGTCATCTGTTTCTGAACACAGTGAACACAAAGCATCATAATGCATGGAAGGATGGCACATATTTGAGTGTGGATGTAACTAAAGCAAGCAAATCCTACCCTGTGAATGCAGAAAGGCACCTGAATGTTTTTACAAGATTTTTGCAGATCTGAATAACTAAGATACAGGTGACTATCTGAGTAAATAACCTTCCATCTCTTGCTAAGTTGAAATTTATCCACAGAGAAAGCAAAAAGCTTGGGAAGCTGTCTTTCATCGTTTTTTATATTGAGATGATTCCTTCTGCGAACACGTATGTCGTACCAAAGTGTCACTGGATTCGCTATGCCTCTGCAAACCTTGCTAGCTCTGGTTAAGTGGAATTTCTGTATAAGCATATAGCGAGCATGTAAGTAACAGGGAATATAGGAGGAAAGGAGGCAAGGAAAAATGAAAATCCCTCTCCATTAGAGGAAAATATTTACTCATGGCGTATTGTTCCTGAAGAGTCTTGTGGCCAGTGATGGCTTGGTGAACTTTTGGTTGAGTATGATCACCATATTTTAAGATAGCTTTTTCAAATATGAAGTTACATAGACACAGAGTCTAGACAGCTGAAACCCTTTGAAAAGTCCTTGATCCAAAAATAACACATTTTACAAATTAGGTGTAAAAAAATCATTAAAAGGAGCAGAAATAAGGTGGTTTGAGTACCTGCCAAAATATTTTTTTTCCCTCTTCTTCAAAGAAAAACTCTTTTTTATAGAGTTCTATTAGTTGTTATGTGTTTGGTTTTGAAACTACTGTACTTTAGTTACTTTGATTAATGCTAAATTATTCATTCTTTTCAGTTTTAACTTGGTTTAATGATTATGGTAATGTTATTTGTAAAAAATCAGTCACTTGATTTTAGCCATCTTCTCTTTTTTTACATGACAGGTAAGTATCATGTAGGAAACTTCTAAAAAGTTACCTGTTGTGATTCTCTTAGTGTTACTGAAATACGTGATAAAATACCAGTTCATCAAGGTATACATATATGTAATCATTTTAAAGCTAAGTATCATTTATAATTCTAAAGCTGAAGAAATATGTTTGCATGTATATATATATGTAAAAATATATATTTTTATGTGATTTTGAGATATGCTTTTAAAATGGGAATATATTTCATTTGTAGATGCTACTTTATTTCATTTTGTTTTGAGGAAATGAAGATCAGTGTATAGGGAGAAGGTCAGGTTCTTAAATGGCAGGCTTCTTGGGGATCGGGAGTATTGTTTCTTGATGGCTGAATTTTGCTGTATCATTCTCACTATTCATAAATATGATCGGCAAATATTGCAGTTGGTTATTACCTGTCATATTTATTACATTTTTTCTACATTTACTACATTTTAAAGATATTGAAATACAGAGCTGATCAATAAATGACTGAACATTAAATCTCAGACATCTGAATTTTTGATTATTTTTTTTTTTTTGGTAATTCCTTTTCCTGACTGTATTGTCTGAAGAATTATCCATCAGTTGTTTTCCGTGGGCTCACATTCATGCACTCTATTGCAGGTCAGTTCCTCCTAGAAGAATCCCGCCTGATAGAAGCAGCTGAGATGGCAAAAAAAGCAGCTGAACTTGATAATACCGAATTTGATGTTGTTTTCAATGCAGCCCATATGCTCAGGTTAGTGCTTTATATCTGCCTTACCTGATTTTCCTCCCTTCTTTTGGAGTAAAAAAGCCTTTACAACCTTTGCTTACACAGGGTTCTTTTTAAAGCCCAGCAACTCTCTTGCATAATTCAGTGTTGCTAATAAGATAAAAAGAATTGGAGTGAAACTGTTGCAGGATTTAGCACTTTCTATTTCTAGTTTTCTATGCATTATCTGTCTCATAAATTCTTACCTTTAAAGCTTCCATTCTTCACAAGCAGGTAATCCTTTTTACATGCATACAAGAACAAGTGTTTCTTTTGTGAAGAACCTTCTGCAGGATTTCCTTTCACCTGGTTTTTAAAAATTTAGGATGCATAGCAACTGAAAATAATAGAATATATTTCTGATCTGGATATAACTAGAGAATATTGAAAATATCACGTTTTATGTTAATATCAGTAGGGAACAGTACAATGATTAGAAATCTAGATATTCCCAGCTAATGACGACTTTGAGACTCATAGGAGCACTTAGTGATATTATCAGAATCTGTGATTTAAAATGTAGTCTTATATTTAATTCTGTTCTCCTATCCGAATAGAACAACATTTTAGACTTCTTTTTTTCCTTTTAAAGCTGTTAGACCTGGATATTCAGTAACAGAAGCTTCTGCCTGAACGTTATCATTAAACTCACATTACTGTAATAGGTATCCTCCATGCTTATTTCTAGGGTAGCTATCTAATTATTGTCTATTGCCTGTTTAACAGCTATGAGGATGCCTGATTTCATTTAGATTATATCTATACTTGGAAAATGCATGAAGAAGGAAATAAAAAATATACTTCATTAGCACAAAACAGTTATTGAGATAATTTCTCTGGTGAAGATATCTCACTTGGCTGTTTGTACTTTTAACATTTAGAATATGAAATGAAAGGAAAAGAAAATAGTATTAAAGAAAAGGTAGAATTGGCTTCAGCCAAGTGACCTGTGTTTCAGAATGAGGGTTTCTATACCAGGATTTTGAGATAAGCCCCAAACCACCCTTTGAGAAATTTCTCTCACTGCGTGTAGATTAGAAAGGAAACCAAAACAAATGGTTCACTGGTAACCAGTAGTTTGACCTGCCACAGGTGTATGATCTATTTTAAGCATCCTTCCCTTCCCCCTGATTATTTTCTGAATGGTATGTCTCAAGATAGAATTCAATAATTTGAAACATTTAGATTAATGAAACAAATTCACAGACAGAAGCATAGCAAGTTAGGCATGAAAGCTGAATCCAGAAGGGAATAGAGTGTGTCAGACTCCTGGTTTCAGTGAGTGTGTTGTGGAAGATGGTTTAATGGTGTGATTGTGGGTATTTTAAAATGTAGTGGTGTAGATCAGTACTATTTTGGGAATAGGTTTAATAAATCTCTTACTTTCTCTGTGAGCACTGAGTGAAGCATCCTAGATCTTGAAGGCACATGTCTTTACATCAGAATATGAATATTTTTTCACTCTCAGAGTAAGAGCTATGCTGCTGTACTGTGCATCAGCCATGGTTACCCTACTTGATCTGGTTGGGAGTGGATACTTTTTGGGAAGTTTTGACTAGCATTGAGCTCAGTGATTCTGAACTGCATTCTCTACTTTAGCTGAAAGCAAAAAACTAAAACCTTTAAAAAAATCGAAAATCCACCAAACTAAAACGCTTAAAACAAAACTGAAAAAAAGGCCTGGTAGTTTAATTTAGCTAGAATCCAACTGTGCTCCTTTGGGACAGCCAGTTGGTCTAATTTTTCACTTAAATACTCAGCTTTCTTTGTGGAAGATTGTAATGTCTTCCTAATATGCTCTGGGAGTCTAAAGTGGTCTAGAGGATTTAGAAAGAGTCAGGGTGGCAAAGTTAAATTCAATGCTGCCGAGTATTTCCTTAAAACCGCATGTGTTATGATTGGACTGATTTTTGCTAAAAGGTTATGATTCTGTTGTCTGCCTTTTTTCACTGCTTTACTTAGCAATTTATTCTATATATTGCTTACGTAATAGCTGTTGGACAAAGGGAATGTATATTCATACCTTAGGACAGAGCAGCTACAAACCTACCGTGAGTCTGCGGGACTTCAGAAGAAGATGATTTTCAGGATATTTAGAAAGAGAGAGAGCTGAACTGATTCCAAGAGGAAAGCATATACCAAGATACAGAGGAAGGAAAGAAGGGAGAACTCAGACTAGCATAGAGTGACACAGCTAGAAACTGTGAATGCTAAAGATGGTCATAAGTGAAAGGCTGAAATTATTAAATGTAATAGTTTCATGTAGGTGACCAACTACTCTTCAAGTACCGTAGGGAGCTGTAAAAACTGACTGGTAAGTGAGTAAGAATTTTGAATGGATTGCACAGCTGTGAGGTACAAAATACATTATAGAAGTTCACAGGGCATGGAATTGAATTGGCTGTTGTGAGAGAGAAGGGATAAATTTTAAACATGTGTTATGGACTAAGAGACAGCAATTGATATTAATGTGGATGATGCAAGGTTTCCAAAATGACTAGGAGGTAATAACAGCAACTTAGATTTTTGTGTAAATTCTAGTATTTTTTTTTCAGACCGAATATTCTATGCAGTGATATATTGTTGAATTAGAAATGAATCATCTTCCCCTCCTGTCATTCTCCTGTTTCCACCATTAGCCCAAGGAGTGTCACGAGATTCAGAAACATGTAGACGTTTCTTCAGAATTACAGGCAAATTCTTTCAAATTTGGGTTACAACTGTTTTGGATGGAAAACAATCACATCATTTCCTCCAAGTCCAATTTATTTTTCTACTCTAGTGCTGAAATATCTTACTTTTTCCATTTACTCTCTGAGAAAAATGTTTAAATTAAAATGCAACCTAAATAAAAATTGACAAGTTTTGAAAATTTTGAACCGGAATGCTGCGGGCTAAGTTTTTTTTTCTTAAATTTGCAACTGAATTGTTAACTGCGTACAAACACAGTAGCTCTATTTATAGATAACCTATTCTGAATTTAGCAGTCACAAGAAAGACTTCTGCTCCTTCTGTCAGGTATCCAACACTGTTCACTTCCTCTTTTTGTGACTAAATCCGAAGTCAAGAATAAGAAAACTGAGCTAGTTCTGTTTGCATTATTGAGAGACATCCCTGTTCCTGATTACACGAACATAGTTATTAATTTTTTGCCTAGATGACTTCTGTAGGATTCTGATAATGCAATGCCAGATGAATCAAGTCATCTGTAATAGGGGTTAGATGTGGGATGAATGTGATTAATTTCTTTGCAACAGTCTGGTAACTTTTAACTTTCATAGTACTTGCCTGTAAAATTTGTTTTCTCAACAAATTTGTTTTCCAGACAGCTTGATTCAAGGGTCATGTAGCGGTTTGGGTGGTTCTTCTTAAAACAGTAACTGGTCATGTGTTTTACTTTTGTAGTATTTGCTATGCTCTAGCTTATAGCAATTTGAAACCTTTCAGCAAAGCTAGATACATTTTGATGGAACGTAGTGAAGCATATATTTGTAATGCCATACGGTGGCTGTAGCTTCCGTGACTGAGTCATGTATTAACAGTGCTAAGTTTCACTTTGTAGTTGTATACTGAAGTGAGCTGCCATGAGATAGGTTTCCTGTGATCTAAGGGATAATTACTTTTTTAGGATGAGGAATGGCAGTGTGGTGACACCACCGTAGTAATTAGAAACAGGAAAAAAGCTTCATGTTGTGTCCAAAGGAAAACAAGCCTAGGAAGAAGAGCTTTGCTTAAAAGCACATTTTGTAGGAGTAATTGTTTTTTTCACACTTCTGTAAGTGGGTTGTTCTGGGAAACACTCATATTACGTGACGTTATAGCATATTTATTGGCTATTTGAAAACAGAAGTCTAAATTAGAGCAACACTATATGACACGGTCTTCGTTTTTCAGTAAATTTCTGTGAGAGTATTTTGACTCTCCAAAGTACCCTGGCTGTTTGAACACAGAGTGTAGTTGCTGGCACAGTCCCATAGGCACAAGTTCACCCTATGTTATTGTCTAAACAGATTTTATTCATTCTTTAATTACTGTCTGTGTGCTTAAGTATATATATGTATGTATGTATGGCTAAGCATACAGTCTATGTAAGTATTGTAAACAAAAAATGTGGATGAAGGTTTACATGTATGGAATCTGATTATGATTTTGTTGTGACACAAAAAGGTCCATTAAGAATGCCAAGTATCAACATTCAGTGTTTTAAAATAGGAATCTCTTTGAAGAAAACTTCTTTATAGCTGGGCTGACATCCATGATTTCACTTAAAAAAAAAAAAAAAAATCAACAGTCTTATACCAAGCAATAGTCAGGTTAAATATAACCCTTTCGCATTCACATGTTTATGTATCTAAACTAGTCAGCATTGGTGTTGTTTGTCTCTTAAAGCAATATTTTTTCCAGTGATCGACATAAAGATTCAAAATGAATGCAAGCTGACTATAACTGGGTGTCAGGAGAACCGAAGAGCAGTGTGTTGTCAAGCACATTTATGAGATGTCACTGGCAGTCAGCTGGAACAAAGTACAGGGAGCTGGTGGGTCTGGAGGCTCAGGTTAAGAGATATGAGGGAATAAAAAGAGGAGACATTTTTGTCCCTTAAAATAAGATTGAATGCTAGGTGTTAATGGGGGAAATCAGATGTGTTTTCAAGGTCAGTCCTCATGAAAAGATTTAGAATAGAGGTTGAAATGTAGCTCATAACTATGAAAAGGACTCTGACTTCCAAACTTCTCTTTCATTCCTTTCCTTCCTTTCTGTTTTATTATCAACATTTTATCTGATGTTTCTCTAATGTGAATTATATTTCCTTTAGTAGTGTCTGTCCATTGTTTGACATTGATCCAGAGCTCTTTACTGCTCAGTGGCATAGGGTTACTGCAATTTCCTACCTCTGTGCCTTTAATTTTTCTCAAGGGAAAGCCATTCCAAGGCTTAACATAATGAATTTCTAGTTCAGATTTCCAGTGAAAATGGGAACCAGAATTCTGTTGTATCTTAACTAAAACAACTGTTGCTGAATGCCCCAGAAATGGAACTGGCATTTTCCTGACCAGATTAGTGGGCTGTGCGTTCATTTCTATAAACTGTTTTTAATGGAGAACTATAAATTCAAACTGATTTCAACTTAGGAATTAACGATCCATGTTTCAAGATGTACATGTGGGAGGAAAGCAAGCCATGTATTTCCACTGGGCGAAAAGGGGAGAGGATTTTAATTTGTTCCATGTTCACATGCCAGCAACACTTTTGGAGGTGAAGTGTGCCGTCCATATCTGCCTCCTGGGTAAAGCACCTTGTTTATCGTACAGAATTTCGCCATGTTCAGAAATGTTTTGTTTTCTGACAGTTTTGTGCAAATAGGAACAAAAAAAAGCTCTGTGTCATGTTTTATTTTATGTTCCTGAAATTTGGAAGTATGAGTTGTGGGAGGTTTTTTTCAGTTGTTTCAAGTACTACTAATGCCCAGCAGGAGTGATTCAGAAGCAGGTTAAATGAATATTTTTAGACATTCAATCGTTTCTAACCACTGCAACCACTGAGTCGGTGATACATGTGCAAAGTAATTTAAAACAGTTAACAGGTATAAACCAGGTTCTACTTGGCAAATTGTTAGTCAGGAAGTGGTTTCAGCTTGCATGGGGATTATGTGAGAAACTTCAAAGGGATTATCCTTCCTCCCTTTCTTCTCCCAAGACCAATAACTGTCAAAATGTGTTGATTGGGATTAATTGCCTATCATGTATTATGTGGATAGTGTTTAAAATTTGGGTGGATGGGAACATAAAATTAGAATGCAATTTGATCACTGAATAACAAAGCATGTAAAAGCTCATGTAATGAGCAAGGTAAAATCTCCAGAGACAAGTGCTCAGTTGACTGATACTCTTTGAACTAGTAACTGTTCTCAGTAGCAGAAGAAAAAAGAAAAAAAAAAACAACTGCTTAACATTATCCTTGTTTTCTAATTTTGCCATTTTGTATCACAGAAATGCATCTGTAATCACATCACAAAGACAAATATGCTGAAGATCTCCTGTCCTTAACTCTTCTGTGAAGGGACCTAACTCTTCAGAGAAAAAAAGGCAGATAACTTTACCAGAAGATATGTAGCCTGCCTTGATAGTCCTGCTTAGTCATTGTTACGTATTTACCATCTTTCTCGTGACGTGTATGTGATCAGCTGACATTCATTGGGCCAGTAGCCAAAATGAATATTTGGAGGGAAATTAAGGTGATGGAGACAAAAGAAGAGAGGAGTTTGAGAGAATAGATAAAAAGGGCCTGTTGAGACAAAAATGTGTTTGGATTTTTTGGCAACATATTGCATTTTCATTTGAAGGCATTAAACTGAAAACTCAGGAGAAGAAATAAAAATTAAACTAGTAGGACAATGTAGATGCCATATATATTAGTAAGGAAAAGAAAAAAGAGTTGAGCTGATAGTGCTTCAGGTACTCAGAAACTCATCTTATTCCCCTGGGATATGAGATCTAAGTTTAAATCCCCTCTCAGACTGATGTGAGTAAATGTTGAAGTCAGAACTGTCTTTTCTGAATGAATACCCTGAATCATGGAAACCTGTTTTTGAGAAATCATTGTATTCTGTGATTTTTTTTTTTTATTTTTTTATTTCCTGGAATGATAGTGTTCCTGGGGAGGCACAAAGAAAGGAACTGCATTATTGTATAATCTACAGCTTCATAATTTACTGTTAAAGTATGGCTAATTACAAAAAACAAGCCAGATTTCCTTCTGGGGAAGTCTGGTATGTCTCTGGTTTTGCTTTTTTTTTGTTTTGTTTTTAACTATGCTTCTTTAGGTATGATTTCTTTTTTAACCCAAGGAAAACGAGGTGTAACTCTATTGTTTTTTTCTATCTTGGTAGACAAGCCAGTCTCAATGAAGAAGCTGAGAAGTATTATGAAATGGCAGCAGGATTAAGACCTAATGTAAGTACCTTCTTAATGATATCCATTACTTAAATTGATGAACATGCTACAGTGCTGAACCTTTGTGTCGAGGAGAAACTTCTTGCTGGAGCATTTGATCCTTCAGCCTATATTATATATGTTGTTTTAATGGTGTATTATTGGATAGTCAGATAAAGCTGTTCATTTGTCAAACCAATCGCTCTCCTTTCAGGTTACCTCAGTGAAGTGTTCTAGCAACAAGTCTTACTTGGCTGACATACTTGGAAAAGATTTCTAGATTTAGATTTATTTATCCACCTTTAAATGTGTTAAGTTTGGAAAGCTCTCCTAATTCCGTCTATTTTCACTAGCAAAAGAGAATGACAGGCTATTCTGTGATCCACTGTTTAAGGCATTTTAAATAGTACATTTATGCTTTTCCTCTGTCATGAACTCCTGGCAAACGTTGTTCAACAGGTATTTACCTCTGAGGTTGTTGTATATTGACAAAGAAATGCTTATTCCTTGAAGAAGAAATATGTAGGAGTATGTGACAGACCCTTTTTAAGAAGAGCTCATTTCCAATTTTATTGCATCAGGAACTAAAGAAATAAAATATTTTCTTTTTACCATTTTTTACTCAATGTTATATTTCTTTTCAATTACCTTCACATTTTGGGAAAAAACATTCATGAATATAAATGGGGCAGAATTTATTTTAAATACCTAATACTTTTTCTATGAAATCAAATCTAGAACACATTACTGTCACAGAAGTCTATAGTGCCTAATTTGAGGATACAAGTTAGCAATTTCAGTTAAAAAAAAAAAAGAGAAAAAAAACAAGTAAAAAGAAAAATTAAAAAATACAGACTTAAACCAAAAGTTTTCAGACCTAAGAATCAAAAGCAACACCAGCTAAGACTCAAAACAAGCTAACAAGATGTAATCCCAAAAAACCAAAATAACTTATGCATATGAAATTATGGACTTTCACACCATCTCTTAAAAAAACCTCTCCAAAATCTATGTATTTCTTTAATTCATACTTTGTGAGATAACAACTTAGACTTCGTGTTTCCTTACGCTTTCAGATGCAACACTTCTTTTTTTTCCCCTGAGTGGATACCTTAATGCCTTAATGTTGAAAGAATTCCCTCAGTTGCCTGAAAGTTGGTACAGTTCCTCTTCTCTTTTCTGTGGTTCACTCTACTCTCGAAATGTTTCTCACAAACTCAGAAATATATTTATTCATATTTTAATATGTTTGTATACATGGGGTTTCTCTGAGAGCTCTGGAAGTAACTGAGGGCTTCTAGCTCATGGCAGTGGTGCTATAAAAGTTAGGTATTTCTAGATATTGCTGACAAGCTTTGCATTTTAAGATCAAAGTATCCTTTTTGCAGGATAAGATTATCAGAGCAGTTTATTATTGCAACTTCTAACTTTGATTAGTTTAAATGAAAATCTAATAGGTACTGCTATTCAGCTTTCTTTAAGAGATAATTTCACTTTTATGTTCAAGATGATAAATTTTAACTTTCTAGCTAAGCATAATATGCATATGGTTCATGACTTCTTAAAAATGTTTTAGTGATGCAGAGTGGGAAAGTTGTATCCATTTTCACTTCCAGCATCAACTGTTTGATGACTGTACAAGGGCAATCTCTCAAGAACAACGATAAAAATGGAAGTAGTCATACATACCTTTTTTCTTATTAACTCTCAAATTTACCATAGTAGTTTCAGAGTGGGAGGAAAAGAAGCCACTTGAGGAGGTTTTTTAGGCAGTATATATTGCAGACATGGTAAGACAGAAGCTCCCGATCTTTCCAAAGGAGTGTGGAATGCAAATTAGTGAAATCCTGTACACTTCATAGCTACAACTGTACTGGTAAATTAAATATGCCCAGGACTTCTCTCTAGCATTGATCCAGCCGGCGTCTCAGAGCGTATCCAGGTACTGTCTAAGAGACTGCAGGGGCCGAGTCCAGAGCTGTGCAGGAATCATCCTCACAGCCTGAAAATGCCTACAGTTTGATTTGTTATTTTGGGTATAGCTTATGTATCCTTTCACTGTCTTATGAATATAAAGCATCAGCAAAATTATGTGAGTCAAGATGCTAAAGAAATATCCTTAAGCAAAATATAGCGCTGAAGGATTTTCTTGTTTTGTATCCATCACTAATGATCTAGAAACATTTCTTTGTAGAAAATTCAAAATACTAGATGTATGAATGTGATGTAATGTACAGATGCATGCATGCATACTGTTCCACATATATATACACATCTCTGTATATATATATTTGTGTGCACCTGTTTAATATTAGTTGCGAAGAGGTCTGTTCCCAAGTTCCCTCTCAGTGACAATACTGTGGCAGCACTGAAGTCTCATTCTGTGTAATGGATCAGCCTTGTTCCTAGTACAATTAAGTGCTAAAAGCATCTGTTTAACAAGAACTTTCCCCCTTCTGGTGCTTGAGACAGTACCTATTGGCATTAGTGAATTATGGATCAGGATCCCAAGTAAACTCTCTCTCTGCTTTTTTTTCAGCATGATTTTATTTTTCTCCCATGGTTCCCCAGTCACTCCTTTAGATCCCAAGTTGAAGATTAATTTCTCTGTTACCAACTCCTTTCTTCTTCACTGTACCAAGACAACTAAATTATTGGTTATTCTTTAGAATTAGACCTGTGCCTGGCTCCTGAGAGATTTTCAGCTAATGCAGCCTGAAACAAAACTCAAATTTCCACTCTCTTGCATCCATTTCTTTACAAATATTACATATTGTATAATATCTGTAATATCACTACTATAAAATACCATCCTTAGCAGCATTTAACATCTTGAACATCATCTTTGCTTTTGGATACACCTCCATTCTGCAGAGTGTAAAAGAATTAGAACACTTTGGTACAGTAGCAGCACCAGCTGAAATGCAGCTTGGGTGCAAAGAAAAAACAAATCTGGCTAGCATTATTATTCCAGATTTAGACCTAACTGTCCTTTTAATAATGTTCATGATTGGCCTTATTTACAGTAGGTGTGTATTTATCCTCTATGAAAGTAATTAGCAGTTAAATTTCAGAAGAGCAGTATTTTCTGTAGAATATAGTGCTGCTGTGGGGATGGGAATCATTTATCTTAAACTTCACTGAAGAAGCAAGCATTCTCAAGATTATGTCTGTTTATTTCCAGCTAGGCTTCACAGACTTGACTTTCCTCTGGAGAGCCAAGGGGGAGAGAGGAGTCAAGGAAGCTGTTTGGGGAAGGAATCTACTTTTATTTGCTATGAAACATTTCTTACAGGACTCTCTTTTCCTCCTTCAACTCTATAGGTAACCTACAGAGATTAGCTTCCCTAGCCCCTGGATCTTTTTGAATGCTTTCCAGAAAATGTATTCCCATATTGTGTGTTTACCATGATCAAAACAAAATCATTTTAGAGCCTTCTCAGTGAGAAGCACATATGTATTTACTCTAGCTATGTTGGCTTGGATGTATGTTAATCACATTAGTCTAATTTTAGCAAGTTCAGTTGCATGAAGAAATCAAAGTGTAAGTTTCTTGGACAGCAAGATATTTATGCAGTAATTATTCTGAGTGGGAGTATTGCTGAGGAAAATCTGTATTCAGAGGTGGTTTCTAGGTGCCCTACATCTTGTAATGTTCACAAACCAGGAAATTGTTTTAACAAGTTGTTAGGCACTCTAAAATGTGAGCTTTAAGCTCACTTTGTTGTGGAAAAATCAGTCATCCAGAAACTCTCTTAAACTGGCATTCTTTACAAGAATGTGGATATTGACTTAAGCTTCAGCTTTTATTCAACTTTTAAGACATCATTTATGTAATAGAATTGCATTTCTAATTTTTTAAGTCTGAACTTGAAGCAGCCAATCTTTAAAAAGCTGCTCTAGAACCCCCACATATGGCCAATGGCTTTTGAGAAGAAAGGGCGCTTTGAAGTGTGACCTCAAGAGTATTAAATGAAAGAGAGCTCACCAGAGCCTTAAGACTTTGAGCCACCACCTTGAGCTGATTGGTTAGAAGCATTCCTCAAGGAGGTGCCACGACCTGCGAGTCCCTGCCATCCCGACCACATATTAGTGCTGCTTGCAATCTGGAGCTCATGACAGCTTTAAGCCCCATGTCATCGGCACATTGTCAGAAACAGCTGTTTCCACTCTACCACTTCAAAAGGGCTTGATTAAATCTCTTACTGTAACAACATACATAAAGACACACACATAGAATGAGGGGGAAAGGAGAAATGTACCTATAAGCAAAATAAATACAATTTCCACTAGATGGTTTAATCATAATGTGGGGGACTAAACCATTTCTTGACTTGAAGGGTTTATGTAATCAGTTAACACAATATCATATTAAAAAGCAGTTGCTACAAGTCCTCCTTTTATTTTTTTTTTCCCCAGTGCTGGAATACAGATTTCGTGTCAAAGACTCTAGGCTTGTAATAAGCTCTACCTCGAGCTGTCTAACAGTTGAAAGAAGAATGCTGGTGATTTCCAGATCATTGACTGTATTTTTATAGCCATCTTATAGATAACATGCTGTCAGTGCCTCCTTATGGGAAGTGTTCATAATATATGGGTTTTATTCATGGCAGGACCTCTAAAAATGAATATACTTCTGATAGTACATACGTCTTTAAAAAGTAAAGTAGATGTTGGATTTTGTCTTGAAACATATGTAACCAAGATCTGCTTTATTATGTGTATTTTCCTTAGGTGTTTCCATGCCAAATTTTCCTATTTGACTTTCTCCTAAACATTCAGGAATTCTGTCATGTAGCTTTACCAGGCTAGGAGTAATTGTGAGGTAGATGGCTTTAATACATTTTACCAGCTGTTATTGTCCTGTTATTGCCAGGGAAAATCTTCATAAAACTTTTAAGAGCTCCTGCTATGTTAATTCTGCAGCTGATGGTGGTAATGGATGGGTTAACAGTGATCCCTAAATTGTCTGCAGCTGATCCTCAATTGACAAAAAACTGTCAGTCTTCCATGCTTCACTG